CTGGCCCGGCACCTCCGGAGGTAGTGGCCGTGGTGGTGGCCCGCGCAGCTTGGTGTCTACCGGCGGCTCCGGTGCTGTCACCTGCCAGTACCAGCTTCAGACCGGGCCTCTTCGCGGCACTCTGTGCCGCCGCCCGCACCCTACCGCCCGCTGTTTCCGCCGCCTCGACGATCTTTTTCGTCGTCGCTTTGGCCCGGCCCCGGACCTCCTCGACTGGCACAGCGTGCTCCGCCAAGGCGTGCCGATCTTTGAGTTAGACATGGATCAGATAGGTGCTGCTTTGCATGCTTTGTATTCTGATGCTTCTAGTGTTGCTGGATCTTAGCCTCCCCTGCTGCGTCAGGCGTAGGACTGCCTAGCTTGCCTAGTCTAGTCGCTGCACCGGCTCCGTCCCTGGCCTCCGCCACTGCGTCGCTGTCCTTCACTCTCGACTCCGGTGCCTCTGCCTGCTTCTTCCGCGACCGTTCCACGCTCACGCCGCTTGCTGCGCCTGCTGTTGTCTCTCTCGCTGACCCCTCTGCGGGTCCTGTCGTCGCTCGCAGTTCTACGTCCCTTCCCTATCCAGCAGTTCCCTCGGGCTCCCTTACAGGCCTCCACGTTCCCTCGTTCTCGAGGAACCTGGTTGGTATCGGCTGTCTCCAGGACCTCGGCGTCACCACCACGTTCCCCGGCCACGAGCGGTTCGCTATCTGTTCTGAGGCTGTCTCAGGTTCCCCCCTAACGACGTTCCCCCGGGACCCGGTGTCCGGTCTGTTTACCCTAGACACCGCTTCCCCCTTGGTTGGTGCGTCCTCCCAGGTCGCTGGAGCTTGCTCGTGTCGGTCCCTCACTCACCCGTCCCTTCTCTCGCACCACCGCTTAGGTCACCCTGCTCTCCCGAGTTTGCGTCACATGTCCCAGCACGGTCTTGTCTTAGGTCTCCCCGCGTCGCTCCCTGCCCTTCCTCCCTCGGCAACGCCACCGTGCACGCCTTGCGTCGAGGGTCGGCTCCGCCGTGCTCCTCATTCCTCCTCGCTGTGCCCTGCTACTGCCCCCCTTCAGACCCTGCACCTGGACGTTTGGGGCCCTGCCCCCGTCCCCGGACCGCGCGGTGAGCGCTACTTCCTTGTGCTCGTCGACGACTATACGCGCTACACCACGGTGTTTCCCCTGGAGCGGAAGGCCGACGTGCCCGACGTTCTTCTCCCGTGGGTTGTGGCTGCGCGTCTTCACCGCAGTCTCCCCGTGTTGTGTCTCCACTCTGACCGTGGCGGCGAGCTTGCCTCTGGTCGGCTTGGACAGTTTTGTCGTGCGGAGGGCATCACCAAGTCGTACACCTTGCCGGACTCACCACAGCAGAATGGGGTTGCTGAGCGCCGCATCGGCTTGGTCATGGAGGTTGCTCGTACCTCCATGATTCATGCCGATGCCCCCCATTTTCTTTGGCCGTTCGCTGTTCGCTACGCTGCTCACCAGCTTAACTTGTGACCACGCTCCCAGCGGCCGCAGGTTTCGCCCACCCTCCTTTTGATCGGGTCCCCCGGTGACGCGTGTGCGTTCCACGTCTGGGGCTGCCTTGCTCACGTTCGTGCCTCTGGCACGGACAAGCTCACTGCCCGCACTGTCCTGTGTGTCTTCCTCGGTTTTCCCCAGGACTCGTCTGACTGGCTTTTCTACCACCCGCCGTCTCACCGTTTGTTTCACTCTCGTGACGTCACCTTTGACGAGTCTCTCTCCTTCTACCGTCGCTTCCCTCACCGAGGTCTCTCGGTTGCCCCGCCCCTGTTCCTGGCTCCCTCTCCCCCGGTAGCCCCTGCTCCTCTCTCGCCTCGTCCTGCCCCGTCTGGTGTCTCTCACGTCACTCCCCTCCCGTCGGTTGTCCCCGTTGAGGAGTCTGCTGACTCTGGTAGTCCGCCCGGCCCGTACTTGCTGCGTCCCCCTTCCCCGGTGTCTCCGCCTTCCCTGCCGCAGTCACCATCGCCGCCGCCGCCGCCGCCGTCGCAGTCGCAGTCACCGCCACCGCCGCAGCCACCGCAGCCGCCGTCGCCGCCGCCACTGCTGCCGCCGTTGGCCTGTGGGGGTGCTGGCGTTGAGGAGGGTGTTCGTCCTGCGGCTCCCCGTGGTGCCGCCGGAGTTGGAGGGGGTTCTCGCTCAGGGGGTGTTGGTTCTGGGGGTGCTGCTGTTGAGGGTTCCGCCGACGGTCATCCTGCCTCTGCCGGTCCGAGGGTTCCGGCCCAGCCGTCGCAGCAGCCGCTGCAGCCGTCGCCGCCGGTCTCCGCTCTCCGCCTGCTCGGCCTTCCCTCCCCGGACCGCGCGTCGGTGTCTCCCCCACCGCCTGCTGACCTTCCTGTCTACAGTCCTGTGTTCCTGCCACCGGACTCGTCTCCGGCCCGTCTTCCTCCTCGTTCCCCTCCTGTGTCCCCTCCACTGTCCCCTGACCCTACACCTCCGTCTCACGTTTGGTCTCGCCGTCCCTCCCGTGCTCGTCCCGTCTCTCCTGTCCTGCCCACCCACCCTATGTTGCTCCGTTCCCGCTCGTCTCGTCCTCCCCTCCTCCCTCGTCCCTTGCTGTTGCACCTCCTCCGTTCTCTGACTACCTCCGTGCCGCTCGTCCCCTTGTCCCTCGGGTCCTTGCCTCTCTTGTTACCGACCCTTCTGTTCCTGTCTCGCGCCTTGACGCGCTTGTCGCTGCTGTTGCTGACTTCGTCTCTACCCGCCGCCTTGCCTACGCTACCGCTCTGATCTCTGACCCTGCCCGTCCTCCGTCCGTCGGGGGTGCTCCTGCCCTTGGCAGTGACGTCCTAGAGGAGAGGCAGTACGAGCTGGCTTTCCTTTCCGAGGCTGCTCCCCATCTTTGCTCCATGCTGTTAGTCCCTGAGGGTGACCCAGACGCCTTCGACATCCCGACCCCTCGCACCTACGCTAAGGCCACCTCGGGACCTTGGGCCTCTCAGTGGATAGCTGCCATGGAGCAGGAGATGGCATCTTGGAGGTCCACCGGCACTTACGTCGACGCAGTTCCCCCACCTGGGGTGAACGTAGTCGATGGTCGGTGGCTCTTCAAGGTGAAGCGCCCCCCTGGAGAGCCGCCTATCTTCAAGGCGCGCTACGTGGCCAGAGGTTTCAGTCAGCGAGAGGGGGTTGACTTCTTCCAGACCTTCGCCCCGACCCCAAAGATGACCACTCTTCGGGCGCTGCTACACGTAGCAGCACAGCGCGACTACGAGCTTCACTCCCTCGACTTCTCTACTGCCTTTCTTCAGGGCAGCCTACATGAGCAGGTCTACCTGCGTCGACCTCAGGGCTTCACTTGTACCTTCCCCCCTGGGACCAAGTGGCTTCTCAGGCGCCCAGTTTACGGCCTGCGTCAGGCTCCTCGCGAGTGGCACGACACGCTGCGGGCCACGTTAGCAGACCTGCAGTTCCTTTCGTCCTCGGCTGACCCCTCTCTGTTTGTGCGTTCCGGCCAGACTCCGTTCTACATCCTTGTTTACGTAGACGATCTGGTCTTCGCTACTGCTGACAGGGACGCACTGGCCTCTGTGAAGGCCGAGCTTCTGAAGAGACACACCTGCACTGACCTTGGAGAGCTGCGTCACTATCTTGGCCTGCAGATCTTGTTAGGATTAAGGACAGAGTCTAGGTGAACTTAGGAGCTAGAATTACTCAAAATATAAATCCGAAATTCTGGACAGAAAAGTCGTCTTCACAAGAAACGACGTCGACAAAACACTAGCCGTTGGAATGTCGCGAAACTTGGATATGTTGTAGCTCTTGATCTCAGCTACCGTTCCCAATTTGAATCACGTTGATTGATGAAGTATTCGCGACGCTATGGCTTTCGACGCACTAGGGGGTAAGCTGTAGGAGGAGAACTTAACTCAATCTCAAGAGTTCAATCAAAGTTCAAGAATCTCACAAGGAATTAGAAGGAGCAAGAGAAAGGTTGGGATAGGAAGAGAGGGATGAGAGGGAAGGTCCCAAGAGAGTCCCCAACCAAGGAAACCCCATAAGCACAAAGATTCCCTCCCTATAGGAACCTCAACTTTGACCTTTGTCCCTTCCCAACCAATCCATCCAAGTTGGCCACCCTTGCCAACCTAGCTTGGTTGTTCCCAACCAATTTGCAGCTGTTACAGTGAGTGACAAATTTCCCAAACCCCCAAAGGTCCCAACTCCATATAGAGTCACCCCACAACTTCACTTTGTAACCGCCGCAATTGTAACGCAAGCTCATGAACTTTGAATCTTCATAGCTTTCGCGTTCTTGCTCCGATTGAAGCGATTCTTGTTGCGTCGGAAAGATCTTCTCAAGATCTATCATCACAAATACCTGCTCAGACAGAATAACACAAAACACATTCCCAAACTCCAGAACACACCACACACAAATGCTTGCACATTCAAACCACACATGCAAGTTGAAAAAACATGGGATGGGAGGCAGACAGAATGTGATAGCATATGATGACATCACACAACAATCTCCCCCTCTGGCTGCCAACCATCATCCACCATACCAACATCTCAAGCATGCATACTCAATGCACACTCATCCCAGCAAGCTTCATGCCCTTCCAATGATCCGCCTCCGCCAGACGCTTGGTGAAAATATCTGCTGCCTGCTGATGGGTCTTCACTATCTCCAGCCGCACCTCCTTATCAAGGAGTCTCCTCACCCAATGCCACTTAGGCCTTATGTGTTTTGTCAGCCCATGCAGACAAGCATTCTTGGCGAGCTTCACAGCGGACTCATTGTCACAATGTCCATCTGCCGTATCTTCCATCCCAGGAGTGCAGCTATCGCTAACAGCACCCTCAGTGTTGTTCCTTTCCCCACAGGAGCAAACACCTCATCATAGTCCTTCCCCTTTGTCTGCTGAAACCCCCGTGCCACAAGCCTAGACTTGTAGCGGGTCAGCTCCCCTTCAGGTCCATACTTGTGCCTGTAGATCATCTTGGAAGTGATTGCCTTCTTTCCAGGAGGCAAGTCACACAGGTCCCATGTCTCGTTCTCAATTAGGGACCCGAACTCCTCATCCTCACTCGCCTTCCACTTCTCCCCATTTGGTCCATTCAAGGCCTCCTCTCAAGTCTTGGGCTCAGGGATTGGTGCCCAGTAGCAGTGAGCGATCTCATCTTCCTCAATCTGCTCAACCACACTCCCAGCCTGCACCACATTTGGCTTGCCTCTTCCCCCATAGGTCAGCCTCACAGGAGGGCGCACATCCCTCCTAGGTCGCTCAGGCGGGTGTGGAACTCGAGGTGGAGACTCATGTTGCTGTTGCTGCTGCTCTACTTCAGCTGCTCCCCCTTCCTCAGTCACCCCAGACATCTCCTCCTCTGACACTGCAACCTCCACCTGTCTTGAAGGCTGCTGCACCTCATCTGCCTCCACAATGAGCGGTGTAGATGGAAGCTTCTGTTGCTGCTGCTTCCATTCCTTGTAGTACAGGGACTCAAGAAACTTCACATCCCTTGACACTGTCAACTTCTGGGTGGTCAAGTCCCATAGCAGCCACCCCTTGTGATCCTTTGCAATCCCCAAGTGCACACCCCATCTTCCAGAAGCCTCCAACTTCCCTCTTTTCTCCTTAGGCACATGAAACACTACCATGCACCCAAATGCCCTCAGCATATTCACAGCTGGAGCACTCCCATACCACTTGGTATATGGGATCCACTCCTTATCCCCAACTGTAGCCAGCACTCTATTCTTCACAAGGGCGACCTGCCTCAGTGCAGACACCCAAAACGGATCAGGTAGCCCTGCACGCCCAAGGAGAGTGCGTGCCCCCTCCTGCAGGGTCCTGTTGAACCTCTCAGCCACGCCATTCTGCTGCGGGTTGTAGGGCACTGTCAGTTGATGCTGGATCCCCTTCCTCTTCAACTCCCCCTCAAAATCAGCTCCAATGAACTCCCCACCATTGTCACTACGGATCACCTTCACCTTGTGTCCGCATTCCCTCTGAGCTCTCGGCATCCACTCCTTAAGGACAGCCGCTGCCACCTCCCCCTTGCTCTTCAAAGGGTAAACCCACACTGCCCGAGTGTGGTCATCCACAATTGTCAAGAAATAGCGGCTGCCTGAGAGGGAAGGGGCTCTTGTGGGCCCCACCACATCCATATGCACAAGTGCAAGTGGGGTCTTGGCTGGTCCTGTAGTGCTGTTGAAGGGGAACTTGGAGAACTTGGTCTCCAAGCATGTAGGGCAGCTCCCAATCTCCTTCACTCCCCCTTTCACCTCCAAGCCCTTCAGGCTCCCATCCTTCACCAACTTCTGCAGCATAGGGAAGTTCACATGACACAGCCTCTCATGCCATGTCTCCCAATCGGCCTCTCCACTCCTTGGTGAAGCCTTAGCCCATGCCGCACTTGCATCCACACCAGCAAGCACCTCACCATGTGTCTGCTGCTGCTGCACTTTCTTGACTGCTTCCAGGACCCCATCAGTTGGTGCAGTTGCATCTCCTCCTGCTGTTGCCTTTGCCGCTGCTGCCGTTGCTGCTGTTGGAGTCTTCCCATTCCATGGGATGATGGGCAGCTGCCACAGGTCCTTGATGCAGCTGGTCTCCTCTTCCAGACTCCACAGCACCTTCTTCCCAAGCTTAGCACGGCAGCTGGTTGGTCCAAAGGTCACTTCGGCCTTGCTCTTCTGCAGTCGTCGCACAGAGAGAAGGTTAGCAGACAAGCCTTCAACCAGCAGAACATTCCCAAGCCCCACAAGCTCCCCATTAGCTCCCTTAACCTTGGCATTCCCAACACCAATCACGGGGAGCAAAGCACCTGACGCTGCTGCCACATACTTAATCTTCCCAGGGGGTTTTACCTCATCAAGCAAATCTGCCCGTGGAGTCATGTGACTGGTGCAACCCGAATCAATCACCCAGTGCGTGAGAGGGTGCATCACAACCTTTCCGACAGATCCCACATCACCCTCATGCCCATGCACATCCTCAACCATGAGATACATCCCAGGATAGGCGTTACCTTGTGCACCTTCACCTTGTGCACCTGAGCCTTGCACAGCGCCACCTTGTGCGCGTTCACCACTTGGCGGCTTCATGCCTGGAGGTGACCATCCCTCCAGCCTGCTGAAGCACTTGAACCAAGGATGCCCGACCTTCTTGCAGTACCAGCAGGTGCCCTCCATTCTGGTACTCCCCCTGCCACTGGAGCTCCCATGCCCCTCATTATAGTCACCTCGGCCTCTACCTCTGCCAAAGCTTCTCCCACGGCCTCGGCCTCTCCAACCCCCTCTTCCTCTGCTGCGCCCTGCAGCTCCATACCCCTCAGCAGTCTTAGTGGCAGCACCGCCTCCCACATGGCGTCTGCGGAAGTCCTCCTGCAGAATCTGCTGCCTTAGCCACTCAGGTGTCCATTGATCTTGCTGAGAGTTGAGGGTGGGGATGAGGTTGTCCCAAGAGTTGTCCAACACCGAGATGATCTTGGTGCACTGCTGCAGCTGAGATACACTGCTGCCCGCTGCTGCCATCCTTGCATAGGTGTCCTTGATCTTGTCAAGGACCGGCTTCACATCGTCCCCTGGTCGCATGGAGATGGCAGCAAGTTCCTTCTCGAGCACGATCACCATCAGGAGAGTGTTGGGCTGAATCACATCGCGTAGTAGTTTCCACGCCCTTGGACCCGAATCATCCGCTTCCACAAGATCCTTGATGTGCTCGAACATCTCCTTGTTGACCGATTGAAGGATGAGGTCGAAAAGCACCGTGCTTTTCTCAATCCACCGTTCACGTGCTTCGCCTTCTTCCGGCATCTTCTCTTCCCCAACAGCAATCTTCAGGAGCTTGTAGCGTTTGAAGGCACTCCTCATCCGTCCGCTCCATTCCTCATAGTTGGAGCCATCCAAAGCTTCAACTTTTGATGGCGGCGGCTCACTTGTCTTCTCAGCTACAGCTCCTCTTCCATTAGCATCTCCTCCTCTCTCATTCATCTTCTCCTTGAGAAATGACGAATTTCAGCTCCCCTTTGCTGTCCACACTCAGCTCCCTCGATATTTTCACAAGTGTCGGCGTCCACGAAATTTCGGCAGAGTTTCCCCTTAGCGGAAGACACATCCAACCTTTAGAACACCACTTAGGCACACCCACAGGCCATGGTGGGTCTAGAAGGGTCTTCAAACTTCTGTAGACTCCTCTCAATGTCCTTAATATTGCTCTGATACCACTTGTTAGGATTAAGGACAGAGTCTAGGTGAACTTAGGAGCTAGAATTACTCAAAATATAAATCCGAAATTCTGGACAGAAAAGTCGTCTTCACAAGAAACGACGTCGACAAAACACTAGCCGTTGGAATGTCGCGAAACTTGGATATGTTGTAGCTCTTGATCTCAGCTACCGTTCCCAATTTGAATCACGTTGATTGATGAAGTATTCGCGACGCTATGGCTTTCGACGCACTAGGGGGTAAGCTGTAGGAGGAGAACTTAACTCAATCTCAAGAGTTCAATCAAAGTTCAAGAATCTCACAAGGAATTAGAAGGAGCAAGAGAAAGGTTGGGATAGGAAGAGAGGGATGAGAGGGAAGGTCCCAAGAGAGTCCCCAACCAAGGAAACCCCATAAGCACAAAGATTCCCTCCCTATAGGAACCTCAACTTTGACCTTTGTCCCTTCCCAACCAATCCATCCAAGTTGGCCACCCTTGCCAACCTAGCTTGGTTGTTCCCAACCAATTTGCAGCTGTTACAGTGAGTGACAAATTTCCCAAACCCCCAAAGGTCCCAACTCCATATAGAGTCACCCCACAACTTCACTTTGTAACCGCCGCAATTGTAACGCAAGCTCATGAACTTTGAATCTTCATAGCTTTCGCGTTCTTGCTCCGATTGAAGCGATTCTTGTTGCGTCGGAAAGATCTTCTCAAGATCTATCATCACAAATACCTGCTCAGACAGAATAACACAAAACACATTCCCAAACTCCAGAACACACCACACACAAATGCTTGCACATTCAAACCACACATGCAAGTTGAAAAAACATGGGATGGGAGGCAGACAGAATGTGATAGCATATGATGACATCACACAACAGATCTCTAGGGACAGAGCAGCACGCACCATCACTCTGACACAGTCACACTTGGTGCGTCAGGTCCTTCAGAGGTTCGGTCTTCAGTTCTCCTCCGCACAGCCCACACCTCTACCTGTAGACCATGGGCTCTCCGCTCCCGTTCCTGAGGAGCCAGTAGAGCCCAGTGGCCTACGCAGAGCTGGTGGGTTGCCTCATGTACCTGATGACTTGCACTCGCCCAGATCTCGCATACCCTCTCAGCATCCTAGCTCGCTTTGTGGCTACAGACAGACACCGACCTCAGCACTGGTCTGCCGCTAAGAGGTTTTTGCGTTATCTTGCTAGTACTTTGGGCATGGGGTTAGTGCTAGGAGGACGCAGGCCAGTGGTCTTTACTGGGCACACAGACGCTTCTTGGGCACACGACTCTGAGACGCTCAGGACATCGCAGGGCTACTGTTTTAGCCTTGGTTCGGGTGCTATCTCTTGGAGATCCACTCGCTCGTCGTCTGTGGCTCAGTCCGGCTGTGAGGCTGAGATCTACGCTGGTGCCATGGCGGCACAGGAGCTCCGCTGGCTGACCTTCTTGCTCACAGACTTAGGTGAGCGGCCTAGCTCTGCCCCGGTCCTGTACGCTGACAACAGGGCCATGATACTCCTGTGTCAGGAGCCTCGGCTTGAGGGCAGAGCGAAGCATATCCAGCTGCGGTACTTCCTCCTGCGCGAGCTACAGCAGTGCCGCCAGGCCCGCGCAGTTCACTTGGCCTCAAGTGCCAACACAGCTGATATCTTTACTAGGGGTCTTGGTATCAGCGACACTGTGTACAGCTTGGTCTTGTTCCTGTAGCTACTCACCTGTTAAGATCCTGATTGTGTACTCTCTATTATATATGCCTGTCAGACTGGCCTTGTGGCCCTGCCTCCAGTGGCTGGACTAGTAGTGCCGCCCTGGCTTGCTTTACTTTTGTTTGTATTCTTGCTGACTGGTCTCCAGACCCCTGCCTCAGTGGTTGGACTAGTAGTGCCACCCTGAGCTGTTTGCTTCTTTCTTAGCTTCACCCCTTGTCTAGCCTAGGTTTTGCGTCAACTTATACATATTAGCTATGTAGAAGGTATAGGCTAGACTGAGGTATGCTTCTAGTGAGTACAACCAACACTTTGTTCTAGGTTTCCACTTCTAGTCAATTATTCAGTTCTCTTTTTAACAATTTGTGCTACAATCCTGAATCCTACTGTGGAGGGGACAACCCCCCCCTTCTTGTATCTCGTTCTCTTCCAGTCCACCCCTCTTTTCTCTCGTCATTTTTCTCCTACCCTACCTAAGCCTCTCGCTTGTCCTGTGCCTAGTTCCTAGCTATTTTAACATGCCTTCCGCTCGAGCCTTCTCCTCACGCTTCCGCAGCATCCTCTCCTCACTTCCGCGCCGCCGTAGCAGCCATGTCATGCTGCCATGGCGGTTTCGTGATGCTGCCGTGGCAGCCTCGACGCGCTGCTGTAGCGTCGACGCCACGCCGTGGCGGCATCGTCGTGCTGCCATGGCAGCATCAACGTGCTGCCGCGGCAGCGACACCGCGCCGTGGTGGCGGCGTGGAGCTGCCGTGGCATCATCGACGGGCGGCAGCGGCCGTGTTTTAACGTTGGCCAGCTCGCCCGCACGCCAGCCAGCGCCGCGCCGCCATGGCGCCTCGCTGCCAGGCTTCTGGATAGGATTAGAAGTACTCTTTCCCGTAAGGGTACTCGCTTGCTGCCACTTTTTTGGAAATTTTGCAGTTATAGCTGTTAAGACTAGAAAGAATGAATAGAAGAAGGGAGAACATGGGAGATATAGCGTTTGGGTTGTACCCACTAAGAACATTCCCTATCTAGCCTAGAACTTCTACATAGCAATATATGTATAAGTTGACACACCCCCTAGGCTAGATAAGGCGTAGTGCTGAGCAAGAAACATGCAGCTCAGGGTGGCACTACTAGTCCAACCTCTGAGGCAGGGACCCGAAGACCAGTCAACAGAGTACAAGCAAGACAAAGCAAACCAGGGCGGCACTACTAGTCCAACCACTGGAGGAAAAGCCACAAGGCCAGTCTGCAAGGTGTAAATAGAAAGGAGTACACAGTCAAGGGCCTAGCAAGTGAGACTCAATAGAGACTAGACCTAACTGCAAGCTGTGCCGCTGATGATCTCTCGGCGGAAGCGCCTTAGTAAAGATATCAGCTGTGTTGGCACCGGAGGCCAAGTGTACTACGTGGGCCTGGCGATGCTCGTCAAGCTCGTGCAGGAGGAAGTACCGCAGCGGGATGTGCTACGCTCTGCCCTCAAGATGAGGCTCCTAACACGAGAGGATCATGGCCCTATTGTCAGCGTACAGAAACAGGGCAGAGCTAGGCCACTCACCTAAGTCAGCAAGCAAGAAGGTCAGCCAGCGGAGCTCCTGTGCCACCATGGCACCGGCGTAGATCTCAGCCTCGCAGCTAGACTGAGCAACAGACGAGGAGCGAGTGGACCTCCACGAGATGGCACCAGAACCAAGGCTGAAGAAGTAGCCCTGGGAGGACCGGAGGGTCTCGGCGTCGTCTGCCCAAGAAGCGTCTGTGTGCCCAGTAAGGACCACTAGCCTGCGTCCTCCCAACACTAGCCCCATGCCTGATGTACTTGCAAGATAACGCAAAACCCTCTTAGCGGCCGACCAGTGCTATGGTCGGTGCCTGCCTGTGGCCACAAAGCGGGCCAGGATGCTGAGAGGGTATGCGAGATCTGGGCGAGTGCAAGTAATCAGGTACATGAGGCAACCCACCAACTCTACGTAAGGACCACTGGGCTCTGCTGGCTCCTCGAGAACAGGAGCTGAGAGCCTGTCGTCTACCGTCAAAGGTGTGGGCTGTGCGGAGGAGAACTGAAGACCAAACCTCTAAAGGACCTGGAGCACCAAGTGTGACTGTGTAAGAGTGATGGTGCGCGTTGCTCTGTCCCTGGAGATATGCAGGCCAAGGTAGCGGCGCAGCTCTCCCAGGTCAGTGCAGGTGTGTCGCCTCAGCAGCTCAGCCTTCACAGAGGCCAGCGCGTCTCTGTCTGCTGTAGCAAACATCAGGTCGTCTTCGTAGACCAGGATGCAGAACGGGGTCAGGCCTGCACGAACGAAGAGCGAAGGGTCAGCAGAGGACGGAAAGTACTGCAGGTTAGCTAGCGTGGCACGCAGCATGTCGTGCCACTCATGGGGCGCCTGTCGCAAGCCGTAGACAGGGCGCCGGAGGAGCCACTGGGTCCCAGGATGGAAAGTATTGGTGAAGCCCTGAGGGTGGCACAGGTAGACCTGCTCGTATAGGCTGCCCTGAAGGAAAGCAGTGGAGAAGTCGAGGGAGTGAAGCTCGTAGTCACGCTGTGCTACTACGTGTAGCAGTGCCCGAAGAGTAGTCGTCTTCGGGGTCGGGGCGAAGGTCTGAAAGAAGTCCACCCCCTCTCGCTGACTGAAGCCTCTAGCCACGTAGCGCGCCATGAATACAGGCGGCTCTCTAGAGGGGCGCTTCACCTTGAAGAGCCACCGGCCATCGACTACGTTCACCCCAGGTGGGGGAACTGCGCCGACGTAGGTGCCGGTAGCCCTCGAAGATGCCTTCTCCTGCTCCATGGTAGCTATCCACTAAGAGGCCCAGGGTCCCGAGGTCGCCTTAGTGTAGGTGCGAGGGGTCAGTATGTCAAAGGCGTCTAGGTCACCCTCAGGGACTAGCAGCATGGAACAAAGATGGGGAGCAACCTCTGACAGGAAAGCAAGTTCGTACTGCCGGTCCTCCAAGATGTCACTGCCGAGGGCAGGAGCACCCCCGACGAACGGAGAATAGACAGGGTTAGAGACCAGAGCAGTAGCAAAGTCAAGGCGGCGAGTAGAGGCAAAGTCAGCGACAGCAGCTACAAGAGCGTCAAGACTCGAGAGCAGAACAGACGGGTTGGTAACGAGGGAGGCAAGGACCGGAGGAACAAGAGGACGAGCAGCACGAAAGTAGTCAGACAGAGGGGGAGGCGCGAAAGTGAGCGACAACGGAGGAGGCGAAGGCAAACGGGGAGGACGAGACGCGTGGGAACGAAGCAACATAGGGTGAGAATGCTGAACAGGGAGAGACAGGACGAGCACGAGAGGGACGGCGAGACCAGACATGAGACGGAGGCGTCGGGTCTGGAGACAAAGGAGGAGTAACAGGAGGGGAACGAGAGGGGAAACGAGCCGGGAACGAGTCCGGCGGAGGAAACACAGGACCGTGAAGAGGAAGAGGGGGAGACGGCGAGGGAGGCGCAGGCGAGCGGTTAGGGGAGGGAAGGCCGAGCAGGCAAAGGGCGGACACCGGCGGCGACTGCTGCTGCTGCTG